ACATAGAAATGGTGTTAAATTTTTGCCTGATGAAAGTTTACTTTCACTTTTTTAAAGATTTCAGACAATAATCAGAGCGTGCTCTGCCCCCTTTAACATTACTCATATTCGAGACTATACATCTCTTCCAGGACCTCTTTCAGCTGTAAATGCCAGAGCTGATGCTTTAGTCACATCCATTTTCACGGACATGCAAAATTTTCAAGGCCTAACTCATGCCAATGCTGCAGGACTCAGAAGCAAGTTCCCCCTCACGTGAACAGGCAAAAACCATAGTATGGCACTGTTGCTCTTGCCAAGCGTTAATTTTACAGCCACTTCCTTCGGGAGTTACTCCTCGAGGCCTTTCCCCCAACGCACTATGGCACATGGACGTAACCCACTTGCCAGCTTTTGGGAGACTTTCTTTCATACATGTAACAGTTGACACCTTTTCCCATTTCATCTGGGCCACGTGCCAAACAGGAGAAAGTACTGCTCATGTTAAATGACACATTCTTTCCTGTTTCTCAGGTATGGGCTGCCCCACTAAGCTTAAAACTGATAATGGTCCCGGCTGTACCAGCATTGCCTTTAAAAAGTTCACTCAAGCATGGGGCATTACTCACATTACTGGAATTCCCTATAATTCTCAAGGACAGGCACTAGTGGAAAGAGCTAATAAATCTCTCAAAGACCAGCTTCGCAAACAAGATAACAAAAAGAAAGGGGATGCCAGTACTCCCCATGCTCAGATAAATTTAGCTCTATTCACATTAAATTTTTTAAACTTGGCTAAGAACCAACCTTTTACAGCAGCAGAACAACACTTTAGTAGTAATAAATTTGATCCACAAAAAGGCAAGTGAGTATGGTGGAAGGACACAAAAACTAATAAATGGGAATTAGGCACTGTAATAACATGGGGTAGGGGTTTCGCTTGTGTCTCCCCAGGAAAGGAACAACAACCTGTTTGGGTTCGCTCCCATCCACTGAAATTGTACCATGGCTCCAGCCCTGAAGAACCATCAGAAACAAAAGGTGAAGAGCCATCAGAAATCGAAGCGCAAGGCTCATCACCTGACTAATAAAATTTATAATCCCAACTTCACATCACAGCCTCGCCCTATAACTCCCCAATACTAAAAATTCCACCCCACTGACGTGGGGTCAGATAAAAGTAATGTCCAAAGTGGTTGAGAGACACCTGAAGGACAAAGGGATTCCAAAAACTATGAGTAATATTATCTTGGCTGCCATTCTGGTAGTTACTGCAGTGGTAAGCATATCCGAGGCTGCAGCAACTCGGAAATTACACCTACTGGGCATATGTACCATTTCCCCCTCTTATTTGATCTGTTTCATGGATGGACTCCTCAGCGAAGATTTATACTAATGGCAGTGCATTCATGCCGGTCCCTAATGATGACAGATTTCCAGCTCAACCAGATGAAGGAACACCTTTTAACGTGTCCATTAGATATAAATTTCCACCACTGTGCATAGGAACTGCACCTGGTTGTTTGGCATTCTCTAATCAAAATTGGATGTGGAGTGTACCAATCTCTAGTAATGATTCTTATCAGGTGCATAATGTTTTCAGTAGTTACTCTTTTCAGGTTCTGACCATTAAAATAAATTCATTTGAGGAACAGAGAATTCGTGTCACAGTAAAACATAATAAAACAAAAGGATTGCCAGACTGTTTAAAAGAACCTATAAAGAGTCTAAGAGACTAAGGCATGAGAATCACTTGAACCTGGGAGGTGGAGGTTGCAATGAGCCAAGATTGCACCATTGCTCTGCAGCCTGGGTGACAGAGTGAGGCTGTTTCCAAAAAAAAAAAAAAAAAAACAGTATTTTTATCTGCACCTGATGTCTTCTTTTAGGATACATAACAAGTGCTACCACATTTAAAAATACCAGCTAGGTGCAGTGGCTTACACCTACAATCCCAACAACTTGGGAGACCAAGGTGGGAGGATCAGTTGGGACCAAAAGGTTGAGACCAGCTTGGGTAACACAGTGAGACCCCATCTCTACAAATAATTTAAAAAATTTGCCAGGCATGTCTGTAGTCCCACCTATTCAGGAGGCTGAGATGAAAGGATCAGTTGAGCTCAGGACGCTGAGGTTGCAGTGAGTCAGAATCATGTCCCTGCACTTTAGCCTTAGTGACAGAGAGAGGTTCTGTCTCAAAACAACAACAACAAATAAACTTAAGAAGACCAAAATTATACACTGTGTGTTTTCTGACCAAAACAGAATGAAACTAGGAATTAAAAGTAAAACAGGCAAATCCAAAAATATATAAAATAAAACACACAGGCCAGGCGTGGAGGCTCACGCCTATAATATTAACAATTTTGGAGGCCAAGGTAGGAGAATTACTTGAGCCCAGGAGGTTGAAGCTAGCCTGCACAACATAGCAAGACCCTGTCTCCAAAAAAAAGTTAGAAAAATAAAATAAAAATAAAACACACTCCAACATATTCTTGCTCAAGGGTCAAAAATTTTAATTTTGTTAAGATGTCAATACAACCTACAGGGGTGAACAAATTTAATATCTTTATAAAAATCCTAATAGCATAGTTGTTTTTTTTAAACAAAAATGTTGTTTAAAATTTTTTAATTTGATTATGAACTATAACTAGCCAAACATCCCCTGAAAAATAGGTATTATACTTCCTGATTTCAAAACATATTAAAAGCTACAATCACAAAAACAATGTGATACTAACAAAAAGACAGTTCAACAGAAAAAAAAAAAGAATAAAGAGCTCAGAAATAAACCCTTCTGTATATGACCAAATGATTTTTCACAAAGTTGCCATGAGCACACAATAGAGAAAAAATAATCTCTTCAAATAATAATTCTTAAAACTGGATATCTACTGATAAAGCTGGATCCCTTCTTTGAACTATATACAAAAAGTATTTTAGGACCGGGAGCGATGGTTCACTCCTGTAATCTCAACACTTTGGGAGGCCAAGGTGGGAAGACCACCTGAGGTCAGGAGTTCAAGATCAGCCTGGCCAATGTGTTGAAAGCCTGTATCTACTAAAAATACAAAAATTAGCTGGGCAAGGTTGCAGGCACCTATAATCCCAGTTACTCAGGAGGCTGAGGCAGGAGAATCACTTGAACCTGAAAGGCAGAGTTTGGAGTGCATCAAGATGATGCCACTGCACTCCAACCTAGGTAACAGAATAAGACGTCTTGTAAAAAATATATATATATATATATTTTTTAATAAAATACTAGACATAAAAAAAAACAAATCTCTTAGAAAAAACATAGGGGAGGGACATAAAATTAGTCTTGGCACCATTTTCTTATATATGACATTAAATGCATGAGCAACAGAAAAAAGAAAAGAAAAATTTACACAACACTTCAAAATTTCTTCACATTAAAAAAAAAAAATTCAAGAGTGACAACTTCTCTCTTCAAAGGAAATTGGTAAAATATTTGCAAAACACATGTGATTGGCAAGACATGGTGGCTCACGCCTGTAATCCCAGCACTTTGGGAGGCCTAGGTGGGTGGATCACCTGAGATCAGGAGTTCCAGACCAGCCTGACCAACATGGAGAAACCTGATCTATAGAAATACAAAAATTAGCTGGGTGTGGTGGCACATGCCTATAATCCCAGCTACTGAGGAGGCTGAGACAGGAGAATCACTTGAACTCAGGAGGTGGAGGTTGCAGTGAGCCAAGATAGCGCCATTACACTCCAGCTTGGGTGACAGGAGCAATATTACATCTCAAAAAACAAAAAAAACAAAACACCAGGCTCAGTGGCTCACACCTGTAATCCCAGCACTTCAGGAGGCTGAGGGGGGCAGATCACCTGATGTCAGGAGTTCGAGACTACCCTGGCCAACATGGTAAAACCCCTTCTCTACTAAAAATACAAAAATTTGCTGGGCAAGGTGGCACGTGCCTGTAATCCCAGCTACTCGGGAGGCTGAGGCAGGAGGATTGCTTGAACCCCAGAGGCAGAGGTTGCAGTGAGCTGAGATGAGGCCAATGTACTTCAGCCTGGGCAACAATAGCGAAACTCCATCTCAAAAAAAAAAAAAGTCCTGTAGTATCTTTTACATAGTAATGTAAAATACAATCCTAAAATTTACATGAAATTTCAATAAACTTTAAATAGCCAAAGTAATCTTGACAAAAAAGAACAAACCAGGAGGATGTCATACTTAATAATTCCGAACCGAATTTCAAGATTATACTAATAAAAACAGGATGGATTATGCAGAAAAACAAAAATCAAATGGAACAGAAATCACTACTCTCCATATTTCCAACATGAAAAAACAAGAGAACTTAAAACATTGTTTAACATAGTTTTTGTTTGTTTGTTTTTTACTTTTGAGATGGAGTTTCGCTCTTCTCACCCAAGGTGGAGTGTGATAGCACGATATTGGCTCACTGCAACCTCTGCTTCTTTGGTTCAAGTGATTCTCCTGCCTCAGCCTTCCGAGTAGCTGGGATTACAGGTATGTGCCACCACACCCAGCAAATTTTTGTATTTTTAGTAGAGAAGGGGGTTTCACCATGTTGGCCAGGCTGTTCTTGAACTCCTGACCTCAGGTGATCCACCTACCTTGGTCTCCCAAAGTGCTGGGTTTACAGGCGTGAGACATTTGCCCGTCCTAACATACAGTTTCATAAAATTATGCAGATATTTATGGTTCACCTGAAAATATTAAAAAGTAGATTGTGCAGTCTTTTATACGCCACGAAGATGACTTTGGCTGTCACTGTAAACTTCAAGGAAGATCACAAAAGGGAAAGTAGAATCCTTAGAGAATTAAAAAGCATAAGACAGAAGACGCCCTTATGTGAGAGCAAAATTTTTTAAAATCTCAGGCTTTCCTGAAACTATTTTTTTTGTAACACAGCTTCCCAAATTCTATTGCAAGGACTGCTTTCTCCTTAATCTTTGGACCTCTGATCTGTGTTGTCCATTGTGTTCATTCTCACCTACCTGGGGGTTTGGCCATCATCTCATGTCTCTTCATATTCCAGGGCTCTTTTCCTTGCTCCAGACAGGTGATCAGGTCTGGCTTAGAGACAGCAATACCTGTTTTATTAAAAATAAATAACATGAATGTTGCTTATATTCTTCAAATAATGTCCCCAGTAAAGAGAACGTAATAGCCTATTCTAGCACATTAACCCCAAAATTCTCATTTATAAGAATAATTTCTAAATATTTAGAAAATGGGCCAGGCACAGTGGCTTATGCCTGTAATCCCAGCACTTTGGGAGGCCGAGGAGAGTGGATCACTTGAGGTCAGAAGTTCAAGACCAGCCTGCCCAAAATGGTGAAACTCTGTCTCTACTAAAAATACAAAAATTAGTTGGGTTTGGTGGCACACGCCTGTAGTCCCAGCTATTCAGGAGGCTGAGGCTGGAGAATCTCTTGAACCGGTAAGGCAGAGGTTGCAGTGAGCCAAAATCATACCATTATACTCCAGCCTGGGCAACAGCAACACTCCTTCTCAAAATAATAATAATAATAATAATAATAATTTCACTACCTAGTACCACTGAATCAAAAGCTGGTGGTGACAATTATATTTTAAGGTGCGGGCAACAATATTTTATGTCACTAACTTTTGAAATTATCACTAATATAGAGTAAAAAATACAGGTCTGCTCAGGAATGTGGAAAGTTCAGATCAAGGTAAACTTCAAGAAATTTATCTTGAAGAAATCCTTCTCTACACTGACAAATTCTCAAGATTTTCTTCAAAAACAGTGATGTGAAACTCATTTATGTAAAGCATCAGTTACCAAAAAACATTTTACCAAAAAAAAAAAAAAAAAAGAAAAAGAAACAGAGTATGTTAGGAATTGTGTATTGAAGTTGTTCTCACCCAGGAAGATCAGGTTTCTGTAGTTCTCTAACATCACATCCCTATATAAATTCTGCTGTGCAGTGTCCAGGCATTGCCACTCTTCCAGAGAAAATTCTATGGCCACATCCATGAATGTCAATGGTCCCTGAAAAACATACACACACACACACACACACACACACACATTTACCAGGTGGCCAAGGGCAGAATTTTTAATTTGACTCAAGGTGAAAAGAGAGACTTAAGAGAACAGGTTCTGACTTACAGGAGTGACTGAAATCATCCAATTAAATAATGCTTTTTTCTTTTTTTTTTTAAGGCAGAGTCTTGCACTGGAGGCAATGGTGCAATTTCGGCTCACTGCGACCTCTGCCTCCTGGGTTCAAGTGATTCTCCTGCCTCAGCCTCCCAAGTAGCTGGGATTATAGACACTTGCCACCACACCCAGTTAATTTTTGTATTTTTAGTAGAGACCGAGTTTCATCATATTGGCCAGGCTGGTCTTAAACCCCTGACCTCAGCTGATCCACCGGCCTCAGCCTCCCAAAGTGCTGGGATTACAGGCATGAGCCACTACACCCAGCTGAAAATAATTTTCAATGCAGAAATATTCTCTGATGTATTCTCTAACTCTGAAAAAACAGTGCAATAAGATCCACAACATCAGTTTATATATGATAATTTTCTGGATAATAAAGCATAAAATTAAGGACATGAGCACAGGCATATACATTTTTGAGTGCTATATTTCCATAATAGAGAATGAATTCTGTGTATTTTTGAGACTAAAAAAATATGTTGAGTTGGAAGCTATCTCTCAAATTTTAATGTGTACAATAAACTGGAGATCTTGTAATGGAGATTGTTTCTTCCAGATAATCTGGAATAAAGCCTGAGTTTCTGAATTTCTAACAAGCTCACCAGTAATGCCAATGATTTTGGCCTAAGAATAATATTTTATCAAACATCCAGTATGTGGAAGAACCTGTGTTTTTCCTAGTTTTTCTGGACTATAAAGGAAGATGAAAGTATTCATTTTCCAAGAACAGATATATGCAAAGAAATCTTAAGAAAGAGGAGCAGCTGCCAGATTAAATTTGATAGTTTACACAGATCAGCTACATAAAGATACTTAATAATGAGGAGATTCAAAAAAAAAAAAAAAAATTAGCTGGGTATGGTGGTGGTTGCCTGTAGTCCCAGCAACTTGGGAGGCTGAGGCAGGAGAATGGCTTGAACCTAGGAGGCAGAGGTTGCAGTGTGCCAAGATAGCACCACTGCATTCCAACCTGGGTGACAAAGTGAGACCCTGCCTCAAAAAAGAAAAATAATAAAACAAAGGAAAAATAGTTAACTATATAGTAAAACAATCTGTCAGAGAGCTCTTATCCAAGTGAACATCAACAGCAGTAGGACAAATTTTTATGATGTGCTGATACACCCAGAAGAACACAGCATCACTGCTGAAATATTGTTCCCAAAAAGTATTGTTCCCAAAAAGTAAATTATAGGCTGGCTGGGCGTGGTGGCTCACACCTGTAATCCCAGCACATTGGGAGACCTAGGATGGGGGAGTACCTGAGGTCGGGAGTTTGAGACCAGACTGACCAACACGTAGAAACCCCATCTCCACTAAAAATACAAAAATCAGCAAGGCATGGTGGTGTATGCTTGTAATCCCAGCTACTTGGGAGGCTGAGGCAGGAAAATCGCTTGAACCCGAAGGCGGAGGTTGCAGTGAGCCACAGCACATCAGCCTGGGCAATAGAGCAAGACTCCGTCTCAAAAAAAAAAAAAAAAAAGTACACACACACACACACAAAGTTAAGAATGCGAATTGGCGAGAAAAAACTGGCGTCTGGAATTGTCAGAAGGTGCTGGTAATTTAGTATTTTACTTCAAGCCAGAGTTAGGCTGGAGAAAAGTAGGGCTGGGGGGTACAATTGAGACCCTGCTTGAAAAACCTAAAAAGTGCAGGGCACAGCCAGACGCAGTGGCTCACACCCGTAATCCCAGCACTTTCGGAGGCCGAGGCGGGCGAATCACAAGGTCAAGAGTTCGAGACCAGCCTGGCCAGCATGGTGACAGTCCCGTCTCTACTAAAAATACAAAAATTAGCCAGGCATGGTGGCGTGTGCTTGTAGTCCCAGCTGCTCGGGAGGCTGAGGCGGGAGAATCGCTTGAAGTCGGCAGGCAGAGGTTGCAGTGAGCCGAGATTGGGCCAGGGCACTCCAGCCTGGGCGACAGAGTGAGACTTTGTCTCAAAAAAAAAAAAAAAAAAGAAAGAAAAAAAGGAAAGAAAAGAAAAAATACGTAGGCCATCATCAGCCCTCCGCGGAGTGTGAAAATAGTTAAGTGACATGGAATTAGACTGAGGTGGAAATCTAGTCCCTGGATTCCTACTTTTTTAAAAAAATCTAACTCAAATGCATTTATTTATTTTTTTATAAATTACTAAATTAGAGGAAATGAAATTCAGGCTTATCCAACTATAAACAGCCAATTAAGCTCTGATTACATAACCAGCAAATTTGTAGGCTAAGGTGGAAATTAGGACACTACGAACAGTACCTAACTACTGAATTTGGGTTTGTTTTTTTTTTCATCATGCACCGTATAAAAGTATTTTCTTCAAGCCGCTCTAATGGACCACAAACTACAACCCATAGGGGTGCTCTATAATTTTTTAACAACTCTTTGATTAAATTCTTCAATATTTTTGCGACGACTCCCACAAATTTTTAAAAGGCTTCTCCCCTCACGATCCCACCGTGATCCCTGCGCAATCTGGGAGAGACGCCGCCCTGCGGGTGCAGAGCTGCCCAGAGAGCGCTCGAGACCAAGGCACAGTCACTACCCAAGGAAGAGACAGGACGCCCCGGTGGCCGGCTGTCCGCGCAACCGCCATCTTATGGCTGAAGGGGACTGAGGCTGAGCTGGTCAAAAACTCTGGGCGCAGATTGTGGAGCTGACTGCTGGGAGGCCTGAGTCCCGCTAGTCACTTCCCAACAGTTCTAACCAGCCCCTCCCCTCTCCCGGGAGGTCGGACCGGCACTCTCACCATTTCAAGGCTTCCAGGGGGTTCTGACGTCTTAGCTGCGGATCTCCCAATACTTGCAGGTCACTAGTCCACAGAGACCAGAAGCTCCCGCTACAGCAAGAGACAAAGCCCCCGCCAAATCCCGGAAGCCGCCCTGGCCGCTCTACCTGCGGGCCTGATTGGACGGCTCTTAGCCATTCATCCCTGATTGGATGACGTTTAAGTCCCCGCCTCCTCAGGCCCTGAGTGATAGAAAATATGACCAGATGCTGAGTTGAACGAAGAAAGAGTGACAGCTTGGGCTGAATGAAGGAAGAGTGACAGCTTAGGCTGCAGCCTTTTCAGGCAGGGCTTCCTCCCAGAGCTGAGCCAGGCCCACCCCAGAAGGTATTTGCCTTTAACTTTGTGTACAAGGTCATACGCATCTATAAATAATATACTATATGGCTATTAACGAAGGAAAAGTACATAATAACAATTATTTTAAAACTTCGGCTTTTATGTTCTTCCGGACTTCTGGCGCTTTAAGGAAGTAGCCTAAGTTTTTTTGTGTTTTTTTGTTTTGTTTTGTTTTTTTGACACGGAATCTCGCTCTGTTGCCCAGGCTGGTGTGCAGTGGCACCGTGTGGGTTCACTGCAACCTCCCCCTCCCAGGCTCAAGCGATTCTCCTGTCTCAGCCTCCCAAGTAGCTGGGATTACAGGCACCCACCACCACGCCCAGCTAATTTTTGTATTTTTATTAGAGACAGGGTTTCACCATGTTAGCCAGGCTGGTCTTGAACTCCTGACCTTAGCTGATCCACCTGCCACAGCTTCCCAAAGTGCTAGGGTTACAGGCGTGAGCCACTGTGCCCGGCCATTACCAAACTTTAAAAAGAAAAAAGAAGTGTTCAAGACCGTTTGAGCCCTTCCCTAAACTAGCACAGTCAGTTCACAGGTTTCTACTGCCTTGAGCAAATAAGGTCAGCCAGAGTTAGGCTTTGTAAAACAGATTCTGTATCTCAATGGGAACATCTGTAAAGGCACCTGGCAATGGGCGTGGATATAGGAGGGATGAAAAATTGCTACAATTTTTGCAATGAATATTATTCTGTCTTTTTTGCATGTGTGGTTTATACAACTCACTTGCATCAAGAAATTTGTCCAAAGACCAACAGCTACTAAGTGGCTGGGCTGAAACTCAGGATAAACTGAGTTTGTTGATCTATACTCCTCCATAGATCAAACTATTGGCTTCTGCAGACCCATGAAATACTGGAGAATAATACTATTACAATAGAAGCCAGATTTGTTTTTCTTTAGATTTGTGCCCATATAGTACTGTTTATTATTGGGAATAATCCTGTCAAGAAATTGCAGAAGCACAAGGTGCCTCACACCTATAATCCTAGAACTTTGGGAGGCTGAGTTGAAAGAATCACTTGAGTTCAGGAGTTCAGGTGCAGGCAGGCAACATAGTAAGATCTTGTGTCCATGAAAACAATTTTTAAAAATTAGCCAGGCATGATGTTGCATACCTGTGGTCCCAGCTACTCAGGTAGCTGAGGCAGGAGGATTGCTTGAGCCAAGCAGATTAGGCTGCAATGCGAGATAATTGGTTACACCACCACACTCCAGCCAGGATAAAAGAGGGAGACCCAAGAAAAATTGCAGGAGCATTTTGAACAGACATAGAATAATTTAAAAGAAAAGCTGAGGGATGAACTTAGACAGTCAAAGCCCAAAAACATTTATTTTTCATCATAGAAATAATATGAAAACTTGTAAAATAAAAAAATTTTAGAGAAATTAAATTTAACACAGTTAAATTGAGCAAAAAATGATTTGCAAATCAGATAGCCTGTGGATCCAGAGTAGGCTCAGAGATACTCCAGCATAGCCACATGGTGGAAAAAGCAAAATGACATACAGGAAATGGAAGAAAGGTAGAGAAACAGCCAGATTGATTGCAGCTTAGAATTTGCCTTATTTGAACATGATTTGGACAGCTGACATACTTATACTTGCCAAAACACTTCAGCTGGAACAAGAATGGGTGCAGTCAATTTATAAATCAAGGTAGATTTCAGTTTAGTATGTGAAAAAGAAACCTATTGAAAAACATTAAAGGTGAAAACGGGCAGCATTAGAATATAATTAATTTAACAATTTCTCCCTTTTGGTCATCTTCTCAATTTTGAGAGCTACATCAAAACTTTAGATATTGATGTCACTCTATCACCATCAAAAATTTACCTATTGGCCGGGCGTGGTGGCTCACCCTTGTAATCCCAGCACTTTGGGAGGTTGAGACAGGCAAATCACCTGAGGTCAGGAATTCAATACCAGCCTGGCCAACATGGCGAAACCCTGTCTCTACAAAAATATAAAAATTAGCCAGGCCATTGAAAGGTGAAGCCAACTGGGCTTCTGGGTCAGGTGGGGACTTGGAGAACTTTTCTGTCTAGCTAAAGGATTGTGAATACACCAATCAGCGCTCTGTGTCTAGCTAAAGGTTTGTAAACACACCAATCAGCACTCTCTAAAATGGACCAATCCGTGCTCTGTAAAATGGACCAATCAGCAGGATGTGGGCGGGGCCAAATAAGGGAATAAAAGCTGGCCACCCAAGACAGCAGTGGTGCCATAATGACAGTACTTGAAAGTAAGCCTCTTCCCCTAGGGACTAGCACCCAGTTAGCAGAACTAGTGGCACTTACCCGAGCCTTAGAACTGGGAAAGGGAAGAAGAATAAATGTACATACAGATAGCAAGTATGCTTATCTAATCCTACATACCCATGCTGCAGTATAGAAAGAAAAGGAGTTCCTAACCTCTGGGGGAACCCCCATTAAATATCACAAGGAAACCATGGAGTTATTGCAACACAATGCAAAAACCCAAGGAAGTGTCAGTCTTACCCTGCCAAAACCAGCAAAGAGAAAAGACAGAAAGAAAAAGAGAGAGACAAAGTCAAAGATGGAAGGAAAGAGAGAGAGGAAGAAACAGAGACAAAGAGAAGTAGAGAGAGAGAGGGAGAGTCAGAGACAAAGAAGGAGTTGAAGAGAGAGACAGAGAGAGGAAGAGACAAACACGGAGTCAGAGAGAAAGAGAGAGAGAGAGAGACAAAGAAGAAGTCAAAGACAGAGATATAAGTAGTGAAAAACAAAAAAAAGTGTGCCTATTCCTTTAAAAGCCAGGGTAAATTTATTTATTTATTTATTTGGAGAGAGAGAGAGACAAAGAAGAACTCAAAAAGAAAGAAAGAGATGGAAGTAGTAAAGAAAAAACAGTGTACCCTATTCCTTTAAAAGCCAGGGTAAATTTAAAACCTATAATTGATAATTGAAGGTCTTCTCTGTAACCCTATATCACCCCAATACCACATTGTTGTCAGTGTAAAGCACCGAGGCCACTGACAACCCATAGCCTTCCTATCAAAAATGCTTAACCCAGCAAGTTTCCTAACAGGGGATCTAAATCTTAATTACCATACGAAGGTCTGACCAGACTTAGGAGGAACTCCCTTCAGGAGAGGATGATAGATGATTCCTCTTGGGCGATTAAGGGGAAAAGACACAATGGATATTCAGTAAGTGAAAAGGAAACTCTTACAGAAGCAGAGTTAGGAAAATTGCCTAATAATTGGTCTGCTCTAACCTGCGAGTTGCTTGCCCTCAGCCAAACCTTAAAGTACTTACAGAATCAGGAAGGAGCCATCTATACTAATTCTAAGTTAATATGGACAAAACGAGGTCTTATTAATAGCAAAGAAAAATTAAAATCCCAAACTTACAATGTTTTCAACTAAAGTTTGCTAAAAGTAAACAGTGTAGCATGTATTATCCTACTACCACACACTCTCAAAGGATTTCTCAGCTTGCAAGAAATAACAAAATCTATCCAGTAAGGATAGGAACTACAATCCCAAATAGACTTTTTGGCAACAGTGACTCTCCAAAACCACCGAGGCCTAGACCTCCTCACTGCTGAGAAAGGAGGACTCTGCACCTTCTTAGGGGAAGAGTGTTGTTTTTACACTAACCAGTCAGGGATAGCACAAGATGCTGCCCGACCAGTATTTACAGGAAAAGGCTTCTGAAATCAGACAATGCCTTTCAAACTCTTATACCAACCTCTGGAGTTGGGCAACATGACTTCTCCACTTTCTAGGTCCTGTGGCAGCCATATTGCTATTACTCACCTTCAGGCCCTGTATTTTTAACCTCCTTGTCAAATTTGATTCCTCTAGAATTGAGGCCATCAAGCTACAGATGGTCTTACAAATGGAACCCAAATGAGCTCAACTAACAACTTCTACTGAGGACCCCTGGACCGAGCTGCTGGCCCTTTGACTGGCCTAAAGAGTTCCCCTCTGGAGAACACTACAACTGCAGGGCCCCTTCTTTGCCATTATCCAACAGGAAGTAGCTAGAGCAGTCATCGCCCAATTCCCAATAGCAGTTGGGGTGTCCTGTTTAGAGGGGGGTTGAGAGGTGAAGCCGACTGGGCTTGTGGGTCAGGTGGAGACTTGGAGAACTTTTCTGTCTAGCTAAAGGATTGTAAACACACCAACCAGTGCTCTGCGTTTAGCTAAAGGTTTTTAAATGCACCAATCAGCACTCTGTAAAATGGACCAATCAGCGCTCTGTAAAATGAACCAATCAACAGGATGTGGGTGGGGCCAAATAAGGGAATAAAAGTTGGCCACCTAAGCCAGCAGCAGCAACCCACTCACGTTCCCTTCCATGCTGTGGAAGCTTTGTTCTTTCACTCTTCACAATAAATCTTGCTGCTGCTCACTTTTTGGGTACTCACTATCTTTATGAGCTGTACACTCACTGCAAAGGTCTGCAGCTTCACTCCTGAAGTCAGTGATGCCACGAAC